ACCAGACACTAAAAAGTGTTAACGGTGTCAATATCCTTAAAAAAAAACTTGTAGGAACAGAACTGAGGGGGCTGCAATTGTTGAACTGTCAGATAGCCTGATGTGGACTTGTGTCAGTCCAGTGCTTCTAAGTAGCATGGTCATCATGAGAGAATGACAATTTCAGAACGAGAAGTCTGCAACAGCAGTAATCTCTCATTACATGTTTACTTAACATGATTACATTCATATTACATGACAAATGGCTATTCTGATCCGACATGGATGTACATGAGCTTTTCACCTTGGGATGGTCTGTATAATAAATACATCCTGTCCACGAACAGACTCCTGGATTTCCACTCTGGTTTCTGTAGAGACAGAGGCACAATTAGCTAAAAAGGTCAGATGAATATAACATGAACAGGACATGCTGATCAGACAACTCTTACCTCCATTAGTCTCTTGGTAGACGACTGCCTTGCCCAATTCTACCCCCAATCGCCTAAGAGAGACAAAAAGATTAATAGATTCATAAATATCCAACATTGTTATTCACACTGTTTAACCAACTACCCCCCTGAGGATTTACCCCCCTTCCTGACCAGGCCATTTTTTGCGCTACGGCGCTGCGTTACTTTAACTGACAATTGCGCGGTCATGCAACGCTGCACCCAAATGAAATTTACATTCCTTTCTCCCACAAATCGAGCTTTCAGTGGTATTTGATCGCCTATGTGTTTAAGTTTTTGCCCTATAAGCAAAAAAAAAAAAAAAAAAAAAAAAAAGTAGACAATTTTGAGAACAAAAATAATATTTTGGACTTTTTGCTATTAAACATGTCCAGTAAAAAATTAAAAAAAATCAAATTTTGTCATAAATTTAGGCCAAAATGTATTCTGCCACGTCTTTGCTAAAAAAATCCCAATACGTATAAAGTAATTGGTTTACGTGAAAGTTATAGCGTTTACAAATGGCAGTATAGATACTGGGAACTAACTTGGTGTCACCGACATCCCCAGTGACAGCAATACAGTGATCAGTGCTAAAAAAAACAAAACAAAAAAAAAAAAAACAGACACTGTACTAATAGCACTGGGCAGTAAGGGGTTAATGTGCACAGACCTCTCGAGCAGTGTGCTTGAGCTGGCAGGAAGGAAGCCTGTTTGCAAACAAAATAGTCTTCCTCCCCATTGGTGATTGGCAGTAATCACGGGACACTGGCAGGCACCAGCAGGGACCCAGTGATTGACATCAAAGTCAATGAGAAGCACTTTAAACAATGGCAAGTGAATTGACTCCTATTTAACTTGATTTTGAATGTGATTGCCTAATTATGAACACAGCTACATCCCAAGTTATAAGAGGGTGTGCACACTTATGCAACCACATTATTTTAGTTTTTTTTAGGTTTATTCCCCTCCCCCCCTAAAGATTTCAGTTTGTTTTTCAATTGAGTTGTACAGTTTATCGTTCACATTAAAAAGGTGGAAAGAGTTTTGAAATTATCTTTGTCTCATTTTTTTACATCACAGAAAACCGACATTTTAAAAAGGGATGTGTAAACTTTTTATATCCACTATACAAAGGTTAAAACAAAAGTACAAAAACAGTATTTTATGGAAAAGAATGTGTGCTAAAATAAATGTCATCCAATTAGTTTGAACCTACTTTTCTCAGCTTGTTAATAAAAGCCTTAACAGTACAAGCTTCAGCAAGCTGTTACCAATAGGGATGAATGAATACATTTACATAAAGATTTAACTTCATCTGATTTGCATTCACCTAAACATATTCTCACACGTATGACCAATATATGGAGGCACCCACAATCCAATAATCAGATCTTGATTGGATTATAGGGATTCTTTATTTCTCTGCAGTCCAAACAAAATATGAATGTAGATCAGCCAGAGGGGGAATGTTTTTCTCCTCAGCAAAAGTGGAGTTACTCTTTAACCACTTCAGTACAGGACATTTTTTTCCCCCCTTCCTGCTCAGGCCAATTTTCAGCTTTCAGCGCTGTCGCACGTTGAATGACAATCGCAGGATCATGCAACGCTGTACCCAAATGAAAATTTTTTTTTTTTTTTTTTTAGCCAGAGCTTTCTTTTGGTGGTATTTAATCACCACTGGTTTTCTTATTTTTTGCTAAACAAATATAAAAATACAGAATACTTAAAAAACAAAAAAAAAAAACCCTTTTCTTAGTTTGTTAGAAAAAAAAAAAAAAAAAAAAAAAAGTGCAAATAAGTACATTTTCTTCTCTGATGTGCGCTGATGAGGCTGCACTGATGGGTACTGGTGAGGCAGCACAGACTGACACGGATTGGCACTGATAATTAGGGCACGGATGTCCCGTCACAGTAAAGTCTGTTATCAGTTTTCTTTTCCTCAGACAGTGACAGCGTCTGTTTATATGTGATTACCTGTGATGAGACACTGTCATTGGTACTTTACCCTGATCAGTGATGTGCTGTCTGACGGACACAGCTCCCCACCGATCGGCACGCACAATTGCGTGATCAGGACAACATTATGTGATGTCCAATTAGAGGGATGGCTATTGGCAAGGTGGGAACCAGTTCTTGAATTCCCTGCATGCTTTGCAGCTTCTCTTCTGCCAATTACTTTCCATTTCTAAGAACTATATATGACATGGTACCTCGCTGCCTCCTAGTAGTGATTCCTGTACTGACTCTGCCTCCTGAAACGCCTCTTCTCAGCACCTTTGTAGTTCAGAAGGCAATGAAACCTGACACAGCAGTGCCTACTCACAGGACATTGTGAATAGTCACAGAATTCAAGGAAGTAAATGTGTAGAATTCCTCAAAAAGTTTACAAACTTTCAGATTAATAAGAGCAGAATTATTATTATTTTTTAAAAACGGTAGCCATGTAATATTCCATTTGACTCTCACTCCTATGTTGCTACATATATTTTTCTCCTTTGCAGCCTCCCACATGTAATTGGAGGCCACTGACCTTTTGATTTCTTCGATGGGTGTGTACATGTTCCTCATTCTGACCCTTTAGGTGTGATTGTGCTGTGCTGTCATTGCTCAAACAAATGATATTTGTATCTATTAACCTTTGCTCTGTGGTATGAATTTTTTTTCTATCCTTTATTTAACACATACACTTTAAAGCGGTTGTTCAGTCATCTGTTCAAAAATTTTAAGTCAGCAGCTAACAAACTGTAGCTGCTGACTTTTATAAATAGGACACTGACTTGTCCCAGGATCCAGCCATGTCCTCAGCCGGCAGGTTCTTCACTAGGCTTCGGTCCACGGCACACTAACAGTGGGCAGCTGTCTGCGACTGCTTGAGGATTCTCAGCCAGCTGCTTACTATGCACACATGGGCCGCACTGCGCCATCCGATTAGTCCCGCAGCTTTCTGGGACCTGTCACAGATCCCAGAAGGCTGTGGGGAAAGGAGGGGGCTGAACTTCTGCTCATATTACTGAGGTGACCCGACCAGAAGCAGAACGGGTACCTATCAAAACCCTAAAAAGGTTCACTGTGTGTTTTCTGGGGTAGTCAACAGGATGAAAAGTGAGGGAAAGATCGAAAATTTTGAGTTGCCACGAGAACAGCAGTACCAAGTGACCAGCAAGGCTCCCATCATCCATCCACTACACATCTGCACCAGAGGCTGGTCAGTAGCTCTGAGGAAAGGGACTCGTCCCCAAAACGTGTCAGCCATTTGACCGCACTGACAGTTGGAACACCTTGCTTGCCGTTGTAGCCATCGTTATTATGCAAATGCTTTTTAGATACATGCTTCGTCTGTGAGTATGTTTTTACCTTTCATACCTTTCAATAAACCTTGGATAATGCACTAGGTATGTGCGCCACCTGTATATCTATGTATGTTTTCATACTGAGGCGTTGCGCTTGCAGTGTGGTGTAAAAACTCCTGCTTGCAGCATCTTTGGGGCATGTTTGGGGAGTAAAAAAAAAAAGCCCCAAAAAAAAGCTTCTTCCTATTAAAATCAGTGGAAAATGCCTGCAAAATGCCTCTAAGAAGCGTTGCAGTTTTAAGTTACTTGTCCTTTAAAAAACACAGCAAAACAGCTGCAAAAGCACCTGTGTGTTTTTGAGGTGAATCAGTGTGAAAGTAGCCTAAAACCAGGATGATTTTGATACAAATATTTTACAGCCCGGCTGTGGCCAAACTTTCTATCTTAAACAAGGACACAAACATTTCGTCACAGAAAGTGCAAAAAGGATACTCATGCCTGACAATATAAATGAAAAAACCCCTGCGCTTAGATGACCCTAATAGTAATAAAGCTGCTAACACCTACTATGTACCAATATACCATAAACTAAAAAACTATGAAGTCACGTGATATTCGTGACGTAACGCGTTGGTACGTTCATTGTCTATTCCGGGACGCGCGGTGACGTCACTTCCGGCGTCCGCGCCATATTGGGACTCCATGAAGCCGCATGTCAGGAGGACAGCCGACTACTGTGTGCGATCGTTTGCCTACATGTAAGTGGGTATTTTTGTTTTTATTTAATAAATTGGATATATTGCACTATGGAGCCTGTTTGGTTTATGTCTCTGAGTGGAAGATAGAGGTGTCGTTAGAGCGGTGGAAGAGGTCTGGCTAAAGTTACCATCATTCCGGTCATACTGAAGGGATCAACAGGAGATTGCCTGACTATCTGTTGAAAGCTGGTTGGCCCTTGAGGTCATTGCAAGGAGGTGAGGGGGCACTCAGATTGTTTTGGGATTCCTGTGGCACGTATGACACATCCACGTGTGAAGAGTTCCTCACCTGTGTGCTCATATTGGACTGTTTATCACCCCTTAGTCACTTACTAAGTGTGTGTCAATTTGCACCTTGACACCAGTGATTGATATACGCTATTTATGCTGTCACAAGGGGGTTGATTCACTTGTATTGTTTATTTGCTTCGTATGCATTGTCTTAATGAATATTAGCAGCGCTGCACCATTTTCATAGTTTTTTAGTTCATGCCTGACAATGTTTCTGCGCCTTGTCCCCATGACATGCTCTCCCCCCATTTTTTTGTACTAGTGTCACAGGAAGAAAGAAAAGAGGGATAAAGATCCACTCCAAAGAGTCACAAATAATAAAAAAACTTACTAAAAGAAAACTTTTTTAAAATCTGGAGAAAACACTTTAGAATTTCTGACAATGTTTTTGCTGTCTGTGCCTTCATCTTCCAGATACAATGACTCCTCTACTTTCGGTTAATAGAAAAGTGAGGAAAATTTTCCCGAAAAACAAAAACCTGACAAACTGTAACCAAGAAAATACATTCAGGCTGGAGTTAGGCTGCAAAACAGTGGTGTCCAACCGTATGACTTTCCTGGGCCACATTGGATGAAGACAAATTGTCTCGGGCCGCACATAAAATACACGAAGGATAACTGATGAGCATAAAAAGTCAGACAAGATCACAAGTTAAAGATCACCAATATAGATAATGTACCCATCTGAGTAATAAAACTTCATTTTTTTTTAATTGCAAAAGATGGCAACATAAAACTAGTGTGGTATTTGACATGGTTTTTATAAATGAACACAACAATATCTGGTTCAGTGGATGTAGTAGCAATTCTCAAGGTACTCATCAGATATTTTGGCTCTAATTTTGTCCTTTGTGTGCTTCATCATCAAAAATAGTTATTTACAAATATAGGTGCTTTCGAAAACTGATGACATGAATAAGGCATGATTGTGAAGAATGGGGGATTTTACTTTGGAAAGATAAAACTTATAAAAGTCCAGTAAAGAGACACCTGTCCAATTTTTGTTTGGCTGCATGTGTTCATTTACAAGAAATAAAAAAAAAAAAAAAAAAAAAAAAAAAAAAAAAAAAAGCTGTTTTAACCACTTTCCCGCCACTCTATAGTAGAAGTACTGCGCAAAATCTCTCTCTCTCTCTATAATTTATATATATATATATATATATATATATATATATATATATATATATATATATATATATATATATATATATATCACACACATACAATTTGAATCTCCGGGTAGGAGGACCGCACGCACCGCCCTACCCGCGCCGCTATTGGCGGCTAGGGATTTCAATCACTGGGTCCCAGCCAGTGATTCCCAGCCGCCACTTGGCAATTGTCGGGTAAAGCTGACAGGGGAGAGACCCGTGTATAAACACAGGTCTCTCTCCTGTCAGCATGGACATGTTCTTTTATATCTCTCTGCGCAGCACATACGAAACACCATGCCTCCCTAGTAAAATATAGCACAAAGTAGAACACACACAGCCCCTTTGATCAGCCCAGATGTTAACCCTTTCCTGCTCAGTGTCATTAGTAGTGTCAGTGCTTTTTATTAGCAATGATCACTTGTAGACGCTATAACTTTCACGTAAACAAATGAATTTACACGTATTGGGATTTTTTTTTTGTTAGCAAAGACATGGAGTAGAATACATTTTGGCCTAAATTTATGAAGAAATTTAATTTGTTCCTTTTTTATTGGACATATTTTATAGCAAAAAGTCAAAAATATTTTTTCTTTGTTTTTTTTTCAAAATTGTTGGTCTTTTTTTGTTTTTGTTTATAGCGCAAAAAAAAAAAAAAACCCCGCAGAGGTGATCAAATACCACCGAAAGAAAGCTCTATTTGTGGGGAAAAAAATGACAAATTTTATGTACAGCGTTGGCATAACCACGCAATTATCAGTTAAGGTAACGTTGCGCCGTATCACAAAAAAAAATAAAAAAATCGCCAGGTCAGGAAGGGGGGTAAGTGGTTAAGTAAGCTTACGATTTTGTGTTGGGCCACATTTATAGCCGTCTAGGGCAGCATGTGACCCATAGGCTCCAGGTTGGACACCCCCTGCTTTAAAGCATTTAGCTCAGCTGCCTTTAGGAGAAACAGAATATTCTTTTGGTGGGCACACCAGCATCATTAAATGGATTTCTTTTAGGCCCGATGTCTCCAGATAAGAATATGCAATCTAGAATTGTCAACCCATTTATTCAATAGAACACATATAGGATGTTTTGATTGATAGTTGAAAGATGTGATCATAAGTAATCAATTGCATCTGCATTTTCAAATGCAATCTCCTAATCAGATTAATCACACAGCAGCCGATAGATAAAAAAAATGATCAATCATTTTTCATCCTGGCTGAGCAACTCAGTTTGATTGATTCTTACCTATACGGAGTGTTGCTCAATTGCAAAGGAAGTTATGCCTATTCAATTACCATTCATTTTGATGGAATCACACATCAATCAAATAATAAAACCAGAGCGTTTTTGTCTACTATAACTTCTGATCAATTTTCAGCTATATTGGAGAATTTAGATAAAATTTCTCTACTCACTCTGTAATCTTCTTGGCCAATTCAATGCAGGCAGCGCTGGAATTTGCTGAGAACACACGGTAACCACTTCCGGCTGAGTTCATCGTACAGGTAACATTCAGCCACTTTGGAGCCCGGGAGTAAGAGAAAACAGACTTGTGAGGCATTAACATCCGTCTTGGCATAATGAGGACACCTGAAATACACTTTTTTAATCAACAAAAACACAGCACACCAACACATACAAACACTGTAATACGGGGATGTCCCTACCACAGCAAGTCCTGAGTGCACTGCTGGATCTTATACTGTTTATGTCACTTACTACATTGGGGACTATTCCCTAATCACTTCTGCTGCATTATAGCCAAACTAAATTTATAATTTAAAAAACCTGTGAGCAGGCCACTCTTTATTGCAGAAGAGACATGTTATGTCCCTGCGTGCCTGTTTTAGTCTTGAGCACGTGCGCAGATCAATGTGCATTCCCGGCACACTCTGGCCTAGCCAGAATGATGGACTGATGGACTTTTGTTCGCATGTGCAGGAATACATCATCCTCCATGACCAATCAAAAGACAGAGAACCCAGCCCTGGAAATATCCCAGAGAGAAGATGACAGTGGCTGGCACAGAGTGTGTTGTATCACTGGAAGGTGGATGAGAGTGTTTTGCGCTTTTATTTCCACTTTAACTACAGAGTATATGTCAGTGTTAAGACTGCTGAATGAATGGGCGGGTGCTCCATAAAATTTGATACAGATCAGTGAAAAACTGTTCTATAATGACAACACAGACATACTTTAAGTGTTAGATGAAGTCATGCTTTAAAGCAGAACTAAACCCATTGATTTAACTGGGAAGAAAAAAAAAAAACAATACAAAAAAAAAAAAAAAAAAAAAAAGACCTTTCTGCAGGTCTGAGGGGCCCATGCAAACTGCCATGAACAGCTGCTACACACCAAGTCCTCATGCACACTGGACATTTTTACGGTGGCTGTTTTTGGCTTTTGATGTTTTTTTTCTACAGCTAGTAAACCCCCCAGCATGTTATCCTATGTGTCCATGCACACAGACTGTGATCAATGTTTTTTTGGCAGGGATGTTTTTTTGGCTGAAAAAAACCAAGGACTAGTGGGTTTGTAGGGGAGTTTTTAGCTCTAAAATGCTCTAAGGCTGAAAAACACAGTAAAACGCTGCAAACGGGCATTTTAGGACTTTCTTGACCCCCAAAAAATTTTTTTCTGGAATTAAAAGCTAAATAAAACCCCGCACACCCAGGAAAATGCCGCTAAACGCTAATGCGAAAAAAAGCTGAAACTAGCATTTTTAACGTGACTTTACACAGCTAGGGTTATCAAACCACCCCGTGTGCATGGAACCTAAACAGCGGTTTAGTGAGGCATCTGTCTGTTCCAGCTGCAGTGAGCTAGCTTTTTTTTTTTTTTTCCATCAACTTTACTTGAAGTGCACAAAAGTGACACATCATTCATGTCACTGTACCCCAGCATGCTGTGCTGTGCTGCTGTACATTGACATGCGATCTGTCCTGTGAATTGCAGTAAAATAAGCATGTTTGCACTTTATTGCAGCTCACTGCACCACACCTCCAGGTGTGTTGCCGTGTGAACAGGACACATAGAAAACATTTTTTCTGTGTGTCCTAGCAGCAACCAGTGTTCATCCAGTGCAGTAAAACGCAGACCACTGCCTTATGTGTGAACAAGTAAACAAACATTTGTCTGGCATAATGTCAACTTCTCGTCTGTTTTACTTGATCATGAACAAACATTTTTCAAGGAGTCTTTCCAAGTCTTTCAAGGAGTCTTTACTTTCCAAGAGAAGTAGTTAAAATAACAGATTACAGTGAAGGGTAAATATAGGCAACTAATGGGGCCAAAAGTGAAACGGTTGCCTTTTTCTGCATGGCAAGCTCAGGTTCACTTTAAATGTTTAATTGAAAGCGTCGAAAAAAAAAAAAACTGATATCGATTACATAAAAAAAAAAAAAAAAAAAGGCAACAGTGTACATCAAATATACGTTTTGAAAAAGACTGTGTCTGCTGAAGAAAATGAATGGAATAGGATATTGGGGTAGGTGATGGGAGACACCATTTGATGCATCTGAAGAGGCCATGAATCAGAGGAAATAAAGCGGACAAACAATATTCCCCCATCCACAGCTTTGGTGTGGGGATGCAGGAATCCTCCCCGCGTATCATTGTATTCTGTCAGCGGTGAGACTTCCTTTCCTGCCCACCATCAGAATACAAGGATTAGTGCTGCAGTACTGTACGAATATGAATTTTCCAGCAGTCCCATTCGTGAGAAGTTGATTGATAGACCTACTTCTGAATGGGAAAGGCCATATGAATCAAAATTTGGCAGGTTCAGCAGGGATTTTGATCAATGTATGGCCAGTTTAAGAGTAAACCAAAGCTGGTCTAAAACTTACTACTGAACTGGATGAAATTTGCTTTGTGGATTGCCTTATTGGTCCCATCCTGCACAGCATCAAGGGCAACTGCTTCAGAATGCAATGGCTGTCAGGCTGTCTTGGGTTGTGGTGACGTTCATGTGCTGTGGTGCCATCTTTTCAATAAGCCCCAAAACACCAAAGTAAGGCAACTGCATTGCAATGCACAGCAAAGTAACACACTACTATACATTATAGAGCGCTATAAAAAAAAAAAAAAAGGAAAACTAAAATTCACACGCTGCACATACAGCGGGTAAAATAAGTATTGAACACATCACCATTTTTCTCAGTAAATATATTTCTAAAAGTGCTATTGACATGAAATTTTCACCACATGTTGGTAACAACCCATGTAATCCATACATAGAAAGAAACAAAAACAAATAAGTTCAGAAATAAGTTATGTGTAATAAAATGGAATGACAGAAAAAGTATTGTACATGCTAACTCAAATGTAATACTTTGTACAAAATCCTTTGTTGTAGTGACAGCTTCAAGACGTCTCCTGTGTGGAGAAACTAGTGGCATGCATTGCTCAGGTGTGATTTTGGCCCATTCTTCCACACAGTCTTCAAATCTTGAAGGTTCCGTGGGCCTCTTCTATGAACTCTGATCTTTAGTTCTTTCCACAGATTTTCTATTGGATTCAAGTCAGGTGATTGGCTGGGCCATTCTAGCAGCTTTATTTTCCTTTCTTTGAAACCAATTGGGAATTTCCTTGGCTTTGTGTTTGGGATCATTGTCTTGCTGAAATGTCCACCTTCATTTCATCTTCTTCATTCCAGTAGATGGCAGCAGATTTTTATCAAGAATGTCTTGGTAGATTTTCCATTCATCCTTCCTATCTAATGATATGAAGTTTGCCAGTACCGTATTCTGAAAAACAGCCCCATACCATGATGTTCCCACCTCCAAACTTCACTGTTGGTATGGTGTTTTTGGGGTGATGTGCAGTGCCATTTGACCTCCAAACATGGTGTGTATTATGGCATCGAAAGAGTTCAATTTTGGTCTCATCTGACCAGACTGTATTCTCCCAGTATTTCACAGGCTTGTCTAAATGTTGTGCAGCAAACGTTAAACAAGTTTCAACATGCTTTTTCTGCACTAATGGAGTCTTGTGTGGTGAGCGTGCATACAGGCCATGGCAGTTGAGTGCATTACCTATTGTTTTCTTTGAAACAATTGTACCTGCTAATTACAGGTCTTTCTGAAGCTCTCCACAAGTGGTCCTTGGTTCTTGGTCAAATCCTCTGATAATTATTTTCACTCCTATGTCAGAAACCTTGCAAGAAGCACCTGGTCGTGGCTGGTTTATGGTGAAATTATGTTCTTTCCACTTCCAGATTATGGCCCCAACAGTGCTCACTGGAACATTCAGAAGTTTAGAAATCCTACTGTAACCAATGCCAACAGTATGTAATAATAATAAGGTTGTGAAGGTCTTAAGAAACATCTCATGATGGGTAAAAGAAAACGCTCTCTTGTCTGATACCTTGGTAATGAAAGACCTTTTTCTAGGCCTTCAGTTGAGACTGAACCAGCAGATATTAATTTGCACTGACAAGGGGCAAAATTGCTTTCTAATTACTGATAGATTTCAGCTAGTGTGTTGGCTTTCCATGCCTTTTTGCATCTTTCTTTCTTCATGTGTTCAATATTTTTTCTGTGTCATTCCATTTTATTACACATAACTTAACCACTTGCCTACCAGGCACTTTTACCCCCTTCCTTACCAGGCCAATTTTCAGCTTTCAGCGCTGCCGCACTTTGATTGACAATTGCGCCGTCATGCAACATTGTACCCATATGAAATTTTGATCATTTTTTTCTCACAAATAGAGCTTTCTTTTGGTGGTATTTAATCGCCACTGGGCGCTTTACTTTTTGCGCTATAAATTAAAAAAAGTGCAAAAAATTTGAAAAAAAAAAAAAAAAAAGTTATTTGTTTCTTTTATAAAATTTTTCAAACAGGTATTTTTTCTTCTTCACTGATTTGCGTTGATGAGGCGGCACTGATGGGCACTGATAGGCGGCACTGATGGGCACTGATAGGCAGCACTAAAGGGCACTGATAGGCAGTACTAATGAGGTGGCACGGATAGGCGGCACTGATAGACAGCACTAATTAGGGGTCACGGATAGGCGGCACTGATATGCAGCACTGATAGGCGGCACTGATAGGTGACACTGATTATGGGTACTGATAGACGGCACTGACTGGCATCACTTCTGGGCACTGACTGGCGGCACTGACTGGCACAACCCCTGGGCACTGACTGGTGGCACTGACTGGCAGCACTGCTGGGCTGCACTGGTGGGCGGCACTGGTGGGCGGCACTGGTGGGTGGGCACAGGTGGGTGGCACTGGTGGGCACAGGTGGGTGGCACTGGTGGGCACAGGTGGGTGGGCACAGGTGGGTGGCACTGCTGGCACATGTAGGTGGCACTGCAGAGTGGCACAGGTAGGTGGCACTGCAGAGTGGCACAGGTGGGGGCACTGCAGAGTGGCACAGGTGGGGGCACTGCTGGGCATGGGTGGGCGGGGCTAGTGGGCGCACTGCTGGGAGGAACTTGCGGGTGTCACTGCTGGGCACCGATCATCAGGGCACTGATCATAGTGCCCTGATGATCGGTTCCCCGCTCTGACAACTGCCGGTTCTCGGCAGTACTTTCCTCACGATCTGACAGCGTGAGGAAAGTGCAG